GTGTGTGTGTGTGTGTGTGTGTGTGTGTGTGTGTGTGTAGGCGAGAGCCTCGGGTTGCAGCGAGCTGTCGGTCAGCAGGGCATGTGGCTCCGATGCAAAATTGCCAGCAGTTACCATGGCAATGGCCAGGGAAACAAAAAGCGCGGCGCTCCTGTAGCGAAGGAGGAGAAACGAGTCCTCCTCGTCTCCTCGTCCTCCCTTTCTCTGTCCTCGCTGCGATGGAGGGATGAGGAGGAGCGGGGTGAACTGAGGGAGGAGGAGAGTGATGAAGAGGAGGAGAGGGGTGATGAAGAGCTGAGCTGTGATGTGGATCACTCTCAGCTACCACCACAGCACAGTTCAGTATCTGTTGAGTCGACAGTTCGAGCCTGTTTTTAACAGAAACAAAGAGTTCAGGAGATATTTTGCTAACAGGATGCTAACATGATGCTAACAGGATGCTAACAGTAATGTCATGCTGCAGCTGAGCAGAGATTTGCAGGTTATAGAAATGTAAATCTCACTTATGTAAATGACGTAGCGCCCAGTTAGCACTCGGCTCAGGCACTTTTCTAAATCCTGTGATTTTTCTCTTCTTCTCTCTCGACTCCAAATCCTAACGCTAATCTGCGCACGTGTGGTGAGCACAGATCTGAGCGTGTAACCCTGGAAGTGAGAGGAGACGTGCAGGAGGAGGTTCTCCTCTCCGCGGGCTTTAACAATCACACGTTCATCAGGCCGAGGGAGCCGTTTGTTGCTTCCTGAACCTTTGTGATGCACAGAAAGCTAACGCTGCACGCCCACGCAGCTTCTCACATTTTTAGGTTTGTTTTTAAATTCATGCTCTGAAAACGGATCAGTTCAGGTTCTGGAGGTTTCTGTTGAAATGTCACAGAACTGAAGCAGGTTTATGGTGCAGAGAGACCAGAACGTCCCACTCTGTGGATCTGGGTCACAGTTCAGGGTCAGGTGACGTCATTTCCATCAACACCTTTTTATAAAACCAGTTGAGAGGCTGTAAAACCAGGAAAACACCTAAAACTGGTGTTTGTTTGAAAGAAAGCCTGCCAGCTCCAGCCTCTGAGTCTCAGCTAAACTTCAGCTCAGTATCTGGAAAACTCAGTGAGTTCAAGCCATGTTTAACTTCTGACTGCTGTTTTTCTACATTTAGCTTTCAGCTTTTGTTTCAGCTACTGTTCTGCTGGTTTTAGTTTTTATAAGTAGTTCTTTTATTTTAGTTTTT